ATTTAGCCAATAACTACAATTAATTAATAATAATAATTAAACTTTTTAGGAATAAATATAACTTTATATTTTAACTAAATGAAATTCTGTATAATATTGCTCTTAATCCATTTTTTAATACAAGGAATTCCAAGTCTAATCATAAATAGGAATTAAAACTTTTTTAAATTTGAGAATCATATAAATAATAAATAATAATAATAAATTTTAAATAATTATAAATATATGTCTTTAAGTCCTTACAATTTTATCATATTACATTCTTTAGTAAATTTAATAGATAAAAAAGAAGAAAAAGACCACAAAACGTTTTTACTTTTCTATTAATTATAATATAGTTAATAATTACTTAAATATTTCTAAAGAATAACGTATATTATAATCCGAAACAGAATAATAAAATAAATAAAAATAAACGCTTCCGATTTTACTATTATGGTCAATAATATACCTCAAGGACTAGAAAATCCTGAATAAATTTTAAAAGAAATATTCGCTAATTAAATAGAAAATCATAAAATCTATGTAACAAAAGTAACATTAGTATACAATATATAAAAAAAGAATAATTATAATCTTTAATAATGAAAAAAATAAATGAAAAGAAATCTATTTTGAAATAATAAAAGAGTACTGAAAATATAAATAGAGAATTAAAAATGTTATAAATAGAAAACGAAGAACTAAATTAAAAAATATATAAAAATACTCAAGAAACATTCAAAGGAATCGCTTTTATTAGTTTTGAAACAAATAAATAAAAAGAACTAGTTTTAATTAGTAATTAAATCGGTAATTTTTAACGATTTCTTAATTTCTTTAAATAAGGGAAGTCTATTTAATATAATAAATCTTCCATTTATTTGTTTGATAGACATCTTTATATTAAATAAGCTCCTTTACCAACTGATATTAATTGGAATTTTATTTATTTGGATACTTTAATTAAAATAAAATATAGATTTGTTTCGTTTTTTTAATTTAGTTTAACTTCTTTACTATTATTTTTCTTTTTCTTTTGCCTTTGTTTTATTAAAAACTCTATAATTGATAATATAATAGATGATTAAGATTTTTTTAAAAATATAGATAGAGTTATTTTTATTTAAATTTTAAATGCTTTATTAATTGTTATTGTAAATAAATTTTTTCTACCCTTTTTAATAAAATTTTAAATTAAAAATGAAAAATGGTCAACGAAGACTAAATAAAAGACTAGTTATGTAAAAAAACTTACGACAATATTATTTATAAATACAGCATTAATAAATTTAATTCTAGAATATATATTTCGGAAAAACTTTTATGGAATTGGAGGCGGAATAATATATATAGAATATTTTGTTTTCATTTTTAATGCTTTTTTAATCCCTTTATTTTCATTTATTAATTTCTAAGGAATGCTTAAAAATATAAAAAGAAAAAAATTAATAAAAAATTAATTATTAACATAAAAAGAGGCGAATAAGTAAATATTTATTTTTATTTTTATAAATAAAATAAAAATAATAAAATAATTAGATTAATGGAAAATAATAAATTTAATATTTTAAAAAAATATTCAATTCTATTTAATACTATGTATTTTACTTTTTTTATAGTCCTGTTTTACCTTTTGGTACTTTTTGGTCTTTTATAGGAGTCTCATTATGTTATATTATTGATAAATATAATTTTATAAATAAAAGATGTTTCAAAAAATAAATTGGGCATTAATTTTCTTAATAAATAATAGATAATTGTATAGTTATACATTTCGTATATTAATAAATATATATAAATTTATAAAAAAAATTAAAAATATATTTAAATATATATATATTTATATATATTTATATTTTAATTTTTTTATATTTTTTAGTTAGGGAATATTTTTTTTAAATATTAATTTTTTTAAGAATTTGATTTCATCAATATTTTTTGTTTTATTATATTTATTTTAATAATTTACTTTTAAATATAGATAAAAATAAATGAGTGGCTTTATCCAATTTAAAGTATTAATTAAGAAATATAAAGTTATTTAATAAATGAACATCTTTTTGATACTGATTATGATAGGGAAAATCCTATTTTAAGAAAATAAGCTTTTTAAAAATTTTATTAAATATAAGGTAATATATTTTTATTTTTATTTTTTAATTATTATTATCTATAGAATTTCACACTTTAAATATTATTAACTGAATAGTTTAAAAAAAAACTTTTTATAAATATATCATATTTATTATTATTTATATAATTTATATAAAAAAATAAATATTTTTTAATTAATTTGTATATAAATATAATAAAGATATATAAACTTTCTTATTAAAATATAAATATTAATTAAATTTTTGTAATTATTTAAAACTATATTAAAAACAAGAAAAAAAATATATTTTTATAATTAAAATTATTAATATTTATATATATATATATATACTTTGTATCATATATATTTATTTAAATTTTATATTCTTTATCATTAAAATTTATTAATTAATCAATTTTAAATTTAAGAAGTGTTCAATTTATAGTTTAACATATCAAATATTTTTAATTATTTATATTGTTTGGCATTTTTATTAATATTTTATTCATTTAATTAACTATTTTCTTTAATATTTTCTTCATTTTATTATTAATATTAAAAAATTTATTATTAATCTTTCATATTTATTTTATCTTATTCCTGTTTTTTATAATTAAGAATTTCTTAATAAATATTATTTTTTCCTTCTTTTTCTAGTTCTTATTTTTATAGATATTCTGATAGTTTTTCCTCTAAATAAAAATATTAAAATTAATTAAAAACAAATAAGCATATTAAATAATAAAAAAAAAAATATTTCAATAATAAAAATAAATATTACTAGGAATAAACCTTCCTTTAGAATCTCTTATTCTATTTGTAGCATGTTTATGTCTACTTTCATATTTATACTATATATAAAATAATAAAAATTATAAAATATTATATAGATATACATATACATATATATATAAATTTAATAAAATATTTTATTTTTTATACCTTTTTCTTTTTATCCATTTATTAATTTTATTATAATTATAATTATTCTTCCTTAAATTATTTCAATTTTAAATTTCTGGCAGCCCTTTTTATTCTCATTATCATTATTCTATTAAACTAAGCAACATTAACTTATCTTGGCTCTTCATTTATATTATTATATATAGGAATTGTTTTAGATTATTTTACGATTTCTTATTACAACTATAAAATTTTAATATATATAAATTAATATTTTATTTTCCTTTTTAATTAGTTATTAATATTTACTTTTTAGAATGGAGAATTAGATTATTATAGACTTAATAATTTGTTAGGTTATATTTATTAAAAATATAAATAATTCAATTAATTGTTATTTGTTTATGAATTGAAATCGAATATCGGTGTTTATGATTTGATGTACTCATCTATTTTTAATTATTTTTATTTTTTATAAAAGAATATAAAAAAATATAATTTTTTTTTTAAAAAAAAAAAAAAATTAAAATAGTAATTTTAACTTATGCTAAGTTTATTAATAAAAATTATATATATTTATTTGTAAAAATTACTTTAGCTTTGTTTTTTTTATTTTTTCTTTGATATTTTTTATTTAACTTTTAATATTTAATTATTATCAGCCTTTATATCATCTTATTCATAAGAATTAGAATGATTTTGAAATTAATTATTAAGATCCTCGTTTAAATCAGGGTATTTGGAAATCACACTGCTATCTTTTTCTATATATTGATAAAAGTTTTCAATGTTTTTTTAAAATTTATATCTATTTATTTTTTAAAATCAAATGTATCTTTATTTGTGAAGTTTAAAACTTCTTCTTCTTTTTCAAAATCATTAAATTCATTTTTAACAGATTCATTTTTGACTAAAAAATTATTATTAAATAATCTTTAGATATCTTCAGCTAATTAATTATGATAATTTAAAAATTATGCAGATCTTTCTTGTCTTAAAAAATTTATGGAGTTTAATTAACTAAATTAAGTGAAATTTTATTAATCAGTCATTAAAATTAATTATTTTTTATAAAATATATACTTTAATTATTTCTTTTTTTTTTTTTTTTTTNTT